TTAGAAAGCTCAGCAGCACTTTCTCCTATTGCCCCTCCCTTATCTGACCCCTCCCCCACACATAAAGCTCTCTAACATGTTGCTTTGCCAGGACTGTCCCAAACTAGGGAGGAAGCCCTTGCTTTCCTCTTTCTTCCCTGATTGTGGAAATTGGATCTGTTTTTTCTCTGTCTCAGTGTAGTATGTAGTAGGCCCTCAGGGAAAGAGCACAGTGACTTGACTCAAATCTCAGCTCCTCCACTCTCTAGAAACTGGCCTTGTTTGTTCACGCCTGGTTTTTGGCACAGTACTACAGATGCTATAAATATCTGCAGCTAGGTATGCAATTACTAAATGGCTCAGTTGGTCCATTGATTAAACAGTGTGGCAACCAGGACAGTGACCATAAGCCAGACTGTCCAATTTGAATCCCGGCTTTGCCATTTGCCAACTATGAGATCTTAAGATGACTTAAGCACCCTGGACTTTTGTGTCCTCTTCCCTAAAGTGGGAGGATAGCAGCAGTCCCCTTCTGGATTGTCAGGGGAGATGCCCTCTGTCTGGGCAGGGTCAAGCTTCAGTATGGTAACAGGCAATGGCAGCTACCAAAGACTTCGGAGCAGGGGCATGACTTACATGAAGTTAAGTTGGAGGGTAAGAGGTGTGGGGGCAGCTGGATTCTGGGAGGATGGAAGGCAGGGGTCACAGGTACCAGGTAAAGAGAAGAAGGGGACAAAGTTAGTATTTTGAAACTGATCAGGTTGCGTGAGCCCCAGTATTCTTGGAAGTCTTGATATGGTCACCTCCAGTTCACTCTGCCTTCCACACCTGGGACATCTGCCTCCTTTAATCCTACCATGATTGCTCTTTAACTACAAGTGAGGAAATAGAGGTTTGGAGGCTAAGGGACTTGACAAAAGCCACAGAGTTATGAAGTGGCAAAGCTATTCCTTTCTGCCTAAATTTTCTCTCTAAATCTGGCTGCACAGGGACAGGGAAATTTAAGGTTTCTCTGCATACTACCTCCAGGGGGCACTGCCCTCTGTAGTCTTGCAGATATCTGAGCCAGACTGAAGCTTGGACATGATTCTGTGTCACGGCAGAATCTTTCAGAGGAAGTCATCTTTCTGCTTGAGTTAGCCTCAAGTCCCAAGCTATGGCTGTGGACTCAGCATTCTTTAGAATTCTCCTAGCCTGTCCATACAAATTGTCAGAGGACTAGTTCAGTTCTGAGATGCACCAGGCCAACCTCAGATTTTACCTCTGTCATTAGCAGTCATGCAACCCAGGCTTTCTGTTCCAAATACTCATTTGCAGAATGAGACCACAGTGAAGGACTCCATGGAGATCAAGTTCAAAGTGTGTAGGTGCACACACTGTGTAGTCTTGGCGATAAGGAAGCTTCAGTAAATGGTGGCAAACTCTTCTGTTTATCAAGTGTCTGTGACATGCAGAGATACTTCAACGTGCCTTATGTATACTTTATTTCATTCCCAGCATGCTATCAGGTAGATCACATTGCAGACTTGCCTGAGACTCAGATAGGTGGGCTTGCCCCAAATCACACAGTCAGTGAGGACAGCACAGGGCCACATTGACATCCTTCAGTTTCCTAATAGTCAAAATATCTAACAACTCATGGTGCACATGCCCTGGCCAATCAGGACAGCACCTGAGCTGACTACTAAGCTCTCCACCCTCCATTCTCATGTATTCTTCCCTCCTTCCTCCAAAGAGTCCAAACTCCCCTGGGAGCAGCACCAGGCCCTAGGCCTTCCTTCTACACACCACAACCACACCAGACTCCAGCAGAGAATTACAAGCAGTGCCTACGAGACCAGGCTTTCTTAGGAGGCTGGGAATTGGGAGAGGCAGCAGGGGCATGGAAACCCCAAAGAGGTGAGAGCAGAGATTGCTTACCTGGGAAAGGCACTTTGGGTTTTCCCCACATTGTTGTTAATGTCCTTTTCCTCCTTCAAGTCACCTTGGTAGGATTTGGCTTTGAACAGAAACTTCCAGGGGCAGGCCATGTCTGACTTTTCACTCCTATTTCAATTCCAAGATGTTCTCTGTGGGGCTGAAGAAGGGGAGGGAGGCTGTGAGATGATGTTGAAGAAGGAAGGAACAGATTGAATCCTTCTCACCGGTGCCAGTGTCCCAGGGAATGAAAACAAAGTCCAGATAAGGCTTGCACGTCCGCACTCTCTGCGCTTACACTCTGGGTTTTTATTTGGGGTTTGGGGTTGAAATCCTGTGGGACAGACTCCTACTGTGCAAAGACACATAGCAAGCCAAAGGAACCATACTGGATGCCACATAGCCACCTACCAAAGACAAAGGAAGCATCCACAATCCCCCTTAGGAGAGAACTCAGTGGCTCAGGGCAGGGCTATCCCTGGCACCGAGTAAGGGGGACAGGAGCTGGGGATCACTGAAATGTGCACACTCGTTTGACCCTTCTTGCTCCCTGTTGATGAGAAGAGCCAACAGTTGTCAATAGCAACCTTCCTGTTAGACCTGCACTTGGGGCTGGCACTCCAGTCCTGGCCACCTTGATTTGGGCATCATTGTCCATCTTAAGCCAAGGACACTATGCCACACATTCCTTTCTTGTCATTCCAGGAGAGATCAATGGTTTGTGGGAAAGAGTATTAAATTCTAAGCACTTGAGGTTTCTTCATTAAGAAAAAGATAAGAAACAGAGAGAGAGAGAGCCAGCCTGAGGGTGTCTGGGCTTCCCCAGCTCCTGTCCCCCTTACTCGGTGCCAGGGATAGCCCTGCCCTGAGCCACTGAGTTCTCCTGAGGAGCAGTGTGGATGCTTCCTTTGTCTTTGGTAGGTGGCTATGTGGCATTCAGTATCAAAAAAAGAAAAGGAAGGAAGGAAGGAAGGAAGGAAGGAAGAAAGAAAGAAAGAAAGAAAGAAAGAAAGAAAGAAAGAAAGAAAGAAAGAAAAGAACCTACCCTGGAACCTCAGAGCCCTGATGACCTGGGTCCCAACTTGACTCTTTCTGGTTATTGATATAAATCAAGTTAGTCAACTGAAAATCATATCTACTCTCCTAAAATGGGGTTAATAGTCCCTATCTTATCAGATTTGGGGGTGGGGAAGGAGTACATTTTATAAAGACTACCTGAGATATGCTATGTACTATAAAAATTCCCAGCAGGTGCCACCCCCCCTTCTGAACTTTCTCAAAAGTTTTTCTTTGTAGTGTAATCACCAGAGTAAATATTTGCAAAGAAGAAATCAGACCAAGATGCCCTGTTGAACAGTTGCTCTCCCTAGAACTTCCATCAGATCAGTTTCAGGCCATGCACAAAAAAAAAAAAAAAGCCTGATTTTCTGAGCTTTCCCAAACAAGAAGGTGGTCTTAAGAGCAGTTGTCCCCAACTCAAGACTCACCTTGAAGTTGACTAGGCTACTCCGTGGAGTGAACAAGACCCAAGCCTGAGGAACCTCAGAAGAGTCTCTAACTGCCCAGACCCCTCACCAAGGTGGCTGATAAGTTTCAAACCAGTGACACTGTGTCCTCAGGTACCAGAGTCTCAGTCTTCAACTCCCTGTGAAGCTGTGGCCCTGGCAGAAGCCACCAGGTATTTATACCCCATGCTCTCCCGAGCTATTTTACATAAAGTCTCTGATCCCAAAGGGAGAGTCCCCAGCTGGGTGTGCAGTTAGCTCATTATACGATGGGCACTCCTAGTCTATGGGCACCATTACGTCACTCTGTGTGGTGCATCCTCAGCAATGCCACCTCTTCCTGGTCTCTGGTCCAAGGCAGTGACCACTTGGCAGCAGGTGGCCACTTCAACATTGGGTCACTAGGGAGGGAGGCTTTTCTTGGCTAAACACATAGCCTGGTTTGTAGGTTCCCGGGGATTTTGTTCTGGGCATGGAGCTGTCTGGTTAATTCCTGTCTGTTCTCTCACTTCCAGTTTGCAGCAGGCGTCCAGGGAGCTGGGAAAAAATGACAGTATGGAACGTGCTGGAAAAAAGGTCCAGGTTCTAGAAGGCCAGTGGTGCTGGATGATGCCAATATCCCAACAGGCCCCTGATCTATTGGGAGGGATTTTTTTTTTTTTTTTTTTTTTTTTTTTTTTTTTTTTTTTTTTTGACCTGGGCACAGATGAGTTGCTGAGATACTGCTTCCCTGGCATTCTCCCGCTATTAGTAAGTTAGCTTGGGCAGCATGGTGGGCAGGGCTGCAGTAGGAAAGTCTCCTTTTCACACTGGACATTATAGTGTGACTTCTTATATAAAGAATTATAATTTCCTACCTGGGTGTGACAGCACAAGCCTTTAATCCCAGAACTTGGGAAACAGACAAAAGCAGAGTTCGAGGCCAACCTGGTCTACAAAGCAAGTTCCAGGACAGCCAGGACTACACAGAGAAACCCTGTTTTGAAAAACCTAATTAAATGAAATATAATTTACTATAATGCTTCAAATAAAGCATTCATATATGACATGGAATTTTCCATTATGAAAGTAAAATAGCAACAGTATTATGGGAAAGGGAACAAACAGAGGGGGAAAATCCCCCTGGATCACACTGTCCTAACACACCCTACCAATGTCCATTCATCTTCCCAAGTTTCCCAAGTTCAGCCCAGCCTCAAAGTTTTGCTTTCGTCTGAGATACACAAACTAAGAGTCACCCAAAAGATGCATGCTCTCAAAAAGTTGAGAGAAGAAAAAAACTGTCTAGTGAATAAATGAATTGAAAATCGGGTAGTTGTGCTGAGGAAATGGCTTGTTTGGTAAAGTGTTTGCCTTGTATGCACAAGGACCTAAGTTCAAACTCATATAAAGATGTAGGGCGTGGATTGGTGACATAGCTCAGGAGGTTAAGGGACTTACTGTCAAGCCTGGTGATCTGAGCTGGATTCCTGGAACTCACGTGGTGGAAAGAGGGAACTAACTCCCATAAATTGTCCCCTGACCATCACATGTGTGCCACTCTGCATGCACATACAAAGACAAATCAGCCAATCAGTCAATGATAAAATACTGGGTGTGGTGGCTCACACTGCTAATATCAGATCTGCTGATGCAAAGACAGGAGTATCCTTGGGTTTGCTGACCAGCCTAGGCAAGCTCCAGGCTAGTGAGAAACAGTGGATGGTGCCTGGGAAACAAGAGCTGAGATTGTCTTCTAGCTTCCAAGTATACCTACACACACACACACACACACACAAACACACACCCTGTGAGTTTCAGTATATCTAAGAAACAATACTTGGGGAAGACTGAACACCCAATAGGGTACACAAAGTCTAGGAAAAAGGATGGATGACTAAAGTTCAGACTGATGGGGGTGGCCTGGTCCCAAAGGAGCTAGATCCATACTGCTCAGGGACACATAAAGGAGCAAGTACACTAGGACAGGATTCAGAAGTTTTCCACAATGGAACCCTTAGCCCCTGTTTATGCAAATATTCCAACTATGCCTGCAACAAATACATGTATCAATCCCCAAACTCCATGAAATAGATATTACAGCTTCCCATCTATAGAATCTTCCAGAGTCTCACCTACTTTGCATCTGAATACTTGGCCAAATTCTGTTATTTATGTCAAAAATAAAATGTCAGTTACTATGAGAGAAGAGATTTGATACATGAGCAGTGACGCTCCAGGGTGTGTATGAAGTATCCTTGCCTCAGCACTGTGCCTGCTGGTCCTCTTAGACACTCACATTTCAGGTAGACTCCCTTAAGCAGTCTCTTGGGAATCTCCCTCGCCTCATCCCTTTAGTGTCAGTGTCCCTCCATCAGGAACCTTGGTTTGCTTGGAATCCACAACCCACAGCACAGTGCTTAGAGCTGCCTTTCCATGGTGCTGAGCCCATGGTCTTTACTCTTCACTCTCCAGAGGTGTGAGACCCACGGGCCTGGAGTATAGGTGAGTCTGTAAATCAGTTGAGTGAATGGATGATGAGTGGAGCCAGTCAGGGCCTCCGATGTGCTGGCTCAGGGTAAGGTTTGGTGGCTATTTCTCCTTCCCACTGTTGTTCTTTTGTAGTCTGTTCATGTACCAGCCTGGTCATTCTGGCCACCATGTCCCCTCCAGTGCTATTCCAACCCATCATCTATGCTGGTAGATGTGGGGTTTGGTGCAGGGGACGACTGGGTCCTCTGAGCACCAGGCTTTGAGGACATGGCAAGATAAACCTGCAAGGTCCTGTGTTCTAGTGCCAGCTCCACCACAGATCAGCTGTGTGGGGTTCAGAAAAGCCACCTACCTGTCTTTGCTACACTGGACCATTTCCATGACAGAGTGACAATGATAAAGGGGAGATGTGAATATAAGAAAATGTTTTAAGCTACAAAGCTATGGGTCAGAGTAACCACTTAACATTCTGACAGATCACCCTCACTCTTCTTATGTGTGGTCCTGGGAATTGAACCCAGGGCCTTCTGAATTCTAAGTGAGCACTCTATCAGTGAGATATATCCCTAGATCATTTTTGTACCTTCTGTTTTTCTGTCCCTTTTATGCCCAGGTAGGACTTGCTTTCCATCCTCCTGTCCCAGCCTCCTGAGTAACTGGGATTAAGGCCAGCATAGTCTCTATGTAGTCAAGGATGCTCTTGAGTCTTTTGTGGTCCTGCCTCCACCTCCTGAGGGCTGAGATTATGGCATGCACAACCACACCCAGCCAGTGTGGTGGTGAGGATTGAACCTAGGGCTTTACCCATGTTAGGTAAACACTCTACCTATCAAGCCACACCCCAACCCCTTCTCCCAAAATACTTTAAGTCATTTCTAGATGATTTTTAATACCAAATACAGGCTAAATGACATGTGAAGTTGCCATACCATATTGTTTAGGGCCTAATGTCTCTACATGTTCACTAGAGATGTAATTTAAATATTTCTCCTTTTGGTCAACAGTTGTTAGATTCTGAGGATGGGAATCCCATGGAGGCAAAGGACACACTGTGTTCAGGATGTATGGACATCCTCACGGTTCCGCTGTTCTAACTATTGAACAGGAAGAGGAGGAGAGTAAAAAAAGCAATATGG